CGCATCGCCATTGTCGTTGGCGTGTTTGCCAAATGGATTACTCAGCAGGATTTAGCCCTCTGTCATTTTTGCCTTCATTAATCCCATTTGTATCTGCGCTCGAACAAAAAAACGAGTGAGGGTGAAGCGATTGTTGGGGGGGGGGTGCTTTGTCAAGGACACAGAAGCATTGTTGCCCATGTTGGAAAGGGGAGAAGGGCTTTGCTTTGGACGAGCGCTCTCCCTTTTCGATGCGCCGGCTTGAAGGCGCGCGCTACAAGTGTATCGGTGCGGCCGCTAATGAGCGAGCACATTCTCATTGGCCTCTGCACGCCGACGATGAAATGGCCTTGGCTTTATCTACCTGTCCGCTCCCACCGGGCACGCTCATCCATCATTATCCAGAGTGGAGCCGTGTGTGTGTGTGTGTGTGTGACTGTTCAAAAGTCAGCGCTCTTTGTGTGTATGTGTGTGTGTGTGTTTAGCTGGGGGCAAGGGGGAGGCTGGTGAAGATAAGCAGAGGCAGCGAGAGGGGAGAATGACACAGAGCAGCTGAAGCATTATTGTCCCCTTTGCTCCGTACGCCTAATTAGATGGAGCCGGGGGGGCTTAGGAGCCACCTGCAGCAGCGGCGGCGGCGGCCTGCAGCAGTCACCCGAGCAGCTCTCCGCTGCGTGGATGAGGCCTGGGTCGGATCGCAACTGGACTGACTTTTTTTGTTTGTTTTTGTTTGTGGGCCCAACCTGAAATTTTAGGGCTGCGCATGCATCACAAATTGATCTTCACGATACATGAAGCATTTCCTTTCGGATATATGGGCGGAAGTGTGCTGCACAAGTTGGTCAGGAACAAAATACACACACACACACACACACACACACACACACACATATATATATATATACTGTACATATATGTACACACACACACACTTTTTTTGAAAAGCGATTTAACTCGTCACAGACGAAAAGTTGAGTTGCACTGCATGCCTTCGGTTTTTTATATATATGTACACAAACACACACACACTTTTTTTAAAAAGCGCTTTAACTGGTCACAGACGAAAAGTTGAGTTACGCTGCATGCCTCAGGTTTTAGGGGCAACAATTGTGAAGGCAACGAACTTGAACATGGGCTCCTTTTGGGGAGCACGCAAATCTCTCCGCATTTTTACAGGGTTTCCCGTTTTTTCGTGGACATTCTCCAAGCAGCAAGGCAGGAAAGCACGCGGCAACCTACGATGTTGTTCTGCCCGCAGCCTGGCATGTTCTGCTCATGAAAAGACGACCACCGCGTTCATCATGTTACATGCAGCGTGACAATTGGGCGTCTTGTCGTCGTCATACCTGGATGATGATGATGCTGTCATCCCTTTCATTTTGTGTTCAAGCGAAGCCCGAGACAACATGTGCCGACACTACGAAATAATGAATGATAGTGGTGTTCTTTTTTTTTTTTTTTAATGGAAAATATGAGGTCTACCTTATGACAAAATAAGCACAAAGCACTTTATTGTCGTACCGGTACAATAGTGTGTTTGTATATAGGTTGCCAATTCAAAGAGCAAATTCAGACGAACTGTTCCTGCGCAAAAATAATAATAATAATAATCATAATAAACCCGGATGCTCCACAGAAAATAGATTGAATGTGTTTGTTGTCTTTCGGTTTTGCATTTGATCATAAATTCAAGGGCATTTTCACAACAAAAATTGCAGACAGATCGATCGCGAAACCGGTGAAAAACAACCACTCACAAATACGCAAAAAGTTCAAGGGAATTTATGGAAATGTTAAAAACAAACAAAAGAGCAGCCCTCCCTCCACATTGAACCCAGATGCTCCTCGAAATTCTAAACCATCGCGACAAACGTTTTTCGTCGTCGACGTCGGGACTTTCGAGGAAAGACGCACTCACTCACCCGCTGCTCAAGGCTCCTCTCTCCGTGAAACGGCACCCAGAAGAAGGCAGCTCTCCATCCGCCGAGAGACGTCGGGCTTGTCCTTCCAAAAGATGCGCTGGAAGAAATCGGCTCATTGCAGCTTTGAGTCGAAAGTGCGACGAAGGACTTTCCGTGGCGTTCCGGCGCCGATGCACTCGACGAGCTGGAGCGCGAGAGCCGACGCGCGGGTATGGCAGAGGATGAATGAGATCGTCGCGCTCTGCTCAGGCACGGCCAAGAGCCGCCGAAACTTGCTCGACCGGAGCCGGAGTCTCGCGGGCACGCGTGCTCGGCGGCGGAATTCAGCCAAATCAAAAACAACCGCAACGACGACAAAAGCCGGCTGCGACGCGCCGGCCAAACTTCAGGTAACGTTCACGCGTATCTCCCCCGGACAGCTTTGCATCTTTCCCGAGGGCACAACAGCTGATCGAGAGTCTTTCAAAGAGAGACGCGCCGTTCTGTCGACAAAGAAAAACATCAGGCTTCGATGGGGTTTGATTGAGTTTTGCTGCAAAAAAAAATAAATAATAATACAATCAAATCAAATCAACTCCGATAAGGCAGAGCCTCCGCGGCACGACCGGGCTGCAATTGCACTCGGAAGGGCTGCGAGGTCTCCGGTGTGACCGTGACCGCCTTTTATGTGGGATCTCGCGAGATTGCGCGAGGAGTCGTTTTGCGTCCGCCGGCCTCTGGAGTGACAGGACGGTGCGTTCCCTTATTATATATCCCTTTTGGCACGGGTCTGCTTTGCCTTTGTTTTTTTTTTATTTCAAGCGAATGACTCTGTTTTGTTCTGTTTTAATTTTGGTGTTTTTTTTTTTGTGCTTTTCGCTGACGCTTCCGAAACCAAGGATGGGTCAAAGTTGTTTGGTCTCCACAAATTCACTCTCTGCCAGCGACGTGTATCGTGACGGGCAGAACAACGAATGAAGCGCACCTTGGCTCTGTCTCCCAAGTGATTGGCCGGGAGCCTTCATCCGATTTTTGGGACATTTGGGTTGGCGGTGCGACGAAGTACAACATACCTCTGCATTTCTAGAAAAGGTTGCGAAACACCGGACCATACGGTGTATTTCTGAATCCGCGCAAGGGACAAAATCGGTGTCGCCGTACGCAATAAATAGTAAGAAATGGCATGTCCAACTTTCTTTTCTTTTTTTTTCTTTTTTTGTCAGAACAAAATCCCGAGCTATGACTTGACAAACGATTAAATCTGAATTGAAAATGACACAAAATACCATCTTTTGTACTGTTAATTTCATTTGATTTGATTGCGGTGCAAATACAAAACAGTTCTGAACATTTTTGCCCCAAGATCCGCCTGCCACGTTGAAGAAGAGGGGCGGTTGCGGGCCCCCCCCCCGTGGAACAGCGGGCGGCCCCGACCAGAAAGAAAGCAAGAAAAAGCAAGGAGACTTGCGATTGAAGGAAACGCTTTGCTTTCGGCAGCAAAGATCCGATCTCAGCATTTGTTGAAAAAAAAAACAAGTTACATATTTGGCGAATGAAGCTCATGAACAAAAAACGGTGAAATGACATTTGGAGTGGCATTGCATATGTGGAACAATATTGCCAACGAGGATTCAAAAATGACATCCAACCAAAGCTGACGTATTTGACGATATGTACTTTGAATGACAAGCGACGAGAAAAATACACGATCGACAGTGGACGACATTTTGACATAGACTAGCAAAGTGCTGTTAGTCGAATTTCTATAATCACTTGACTGCACTCCTCCCCCCACTGCCACCACCGACAACAACAGTAATAATGATAATAATAATAGGAATAATAATAATAATAATAATAATTCTGTGTGTGTGTGTGTGTGTGCGTGCTCGCGTAGTCGAATTTCTATAATCACTTGACTGCACTCCTCCCCCCACTGCCACCACCGACAACAACAGTAATAATGATAATAATAATAATAATAATAATAATAATAATAGAAATAATAATAATAATACTAATTCTGTGTGTGTGTGTGTGTGTGTGCGTGCTCGCGCGCAGGCGCCTCTTTGCTCCTCTACAGGAGCTCTAACACCCGGCGTCAGATGCCAGGGTCCTTCATCTGCTTCTGCTTCTTCTTCTTCTTCTCCTTCGCCTCCTTCTGATTATTACCACGGGTAATATTTCATGGGCACCACGCAATCTTTGTTCCCCGTGAAGATAATAAATGGCCTAATCGTTATCAGCAAACCGCTGGGGGTGTCAGCAGCGACCGAGGCTGGAAGCGGGGCTCCAAAGTGCCGCTGAATAAATTGCCGCTCCTTATCTCTCGCTCCCAGATTATCGCCGCCTTTTCAAACTTGCACAACAAATACATTGAATGCATCTAATGCATCATTTGTGCGCGCGGGGGGGTCGTGTAGGTCGATGGAGAGACAGATAGGCGCTCGGAATGAGAACTATTTACACGGATGCGAGCCGCGCAGCCAATCCGAGCGGCGTTGGGCGTTTATTGGCCCGGGTCACCCGCACATCCCACTTAACATATCAATACCAGCTATATTAAATATACATCAGGCGGCGATTTGATGACTATCTCTCTGATTAGTCCCACCTTGGCTGGCTCACCTTTTCATTGTGCGTCGGAGTTCCGAGGCACAAGCGCCCTTTGAAAAGGAGCAGCCGCATTTGGATGATTTTTGCTGCATGGCGATCCTCACTCTGTATGGCACTGTTGACTTGGATCGCCGGATCCATTTTGCCTCGCGCGTGTCAATAGACACGAGGCGTCTGCTTGAATGCGGAGCGCTTCCAAATCGTCGACTTGATTTCGGGCGTTCAACGAGCGGCGCGAAGGACACCCCCGCGATTCACCTTTGTCCAACGTGACCTTTCCCCTCCACGCCGGCTTTCAAACAAATGCGCTCCGCCAGACCGACACTTTGCGTTTAGAATATAACAGTAGAAGTCATGCATTAAATCGCTAAGGGTTGTTTTTTTTTTTCGCTTCAACATAACACACGCGCACGCGCACACGCTCGCGCACCCCTTTTTAATACCGCGGCATCTCCGGCAGCCCCGGTGGTGCTCTGATGGTCTCCTAGACAACCGAGATAACGGTGCAGCAGTTTTCCATATCGGCCCTGGAGTCTATTATAGCGCGGGATTAGCTTTTCCGAAAAGGTCAGACGCAAAGTCACCAAAGCTGCTTTTTTTTTTTCCCCCTCCTCTCTGTGCCACCCCAGCGCGAACCTGCATCCATCCGCGTCGCATCGCGTGTGCCGTTTCATTGGATGAAATTAGACGAGAAGGGCTTGGCGTTTGCGTGGACTTGAACGTTGGCGGAGCCGAAAGAGGAGACGGGCTCTGAAATCCGCTGCTCAAGGCCCCGACCCCCCTTGCTCTTGTCAATGGCCTGTGATGCGGCGACCCCTGGTGCCGAAGAGAGGCAACGGCAGCCACGTGGGAGAAGGATTCCGGTGCACTTGCTGCGTGGATGTCTGTCAAGGCCTGAGCAACAAAGACGGGAGCGAGACCGTGACCCAACTGGAACGTCCCAGCTGGAATTCCCGGTGGCCGCACAGGAAGTTTAAGGAGCTCTGACAGGAAGTGTGCTCTCAGCCTTTGGCCGGCGAGAGAGGGAGAGAGATGTTTCCTGTTCGCTTGCCGGCCGATGGCCCTTTTGCTTTTTCAGCTCACTCCGGAGCGCAACCTGCCAAGTTTGTACATGTGGGGAGTCGGCACACATTTAGAAAAGAGAAGTGATGGTCAAAGAAGGTGCTCAATGCAAGAATCTGCTCCAGGGTCAATTGATGACCCCAAAACAAACAAATGTTGATTCGCTGCGGGCAGTCATTGTTCTGAGCCCGGGTCAACATTCTTCATGAGCACCGAGCCACCATTTTCTTTTGTGTTCCTCTACATATATCCAACTTGCTACTCGTGAATTCACCTGCATGCAAATGTTTGGGGAACCTCTGCTTCTCCACGGTGGGCTGAAGAACTCACCTGCTTGCTGCGGCGCTCAGACCGAAACCCTAATCCTCTTCAAGAAGTCTGAAAAACCGGATTGTCCGAAAATTGAAGCAATATGTCCCGTCGAATATAAGCGAAATACAAGCAATCCGTTCCAGGCATCCAAGAATACGAACAAAAGGACATTTTAAAGAGAATATATATCATTGAACATACAGGAAACAATGTCAAATCAACATAAGTGACTAATGAAATTGAGTAATGAAAAGGAAACTGGACTTTTACCTTCTCCAAGATGTCTAAACACACACACACACACACACACACACACACACACACACACACACATACACACACACACACACGGTGTATATGTCCGGCATATCTCTCCTTGGTTGTGGGACTGTCGCCCCTGCCAACATGGCCGCCACACGGGCATATCTGTCAGCCTGATCTCCTGCTCTGCATATCTGTGATGTCAGCAGCACAACCCGGAAATACACCATGTCGTGTCAGTCCAAAAAATAAAATAAAATAAAATGCAAAAATAAATAAATAAATAAATAAAAAATAAAATGTCGTGTCAGTCCCAGGTCTGCTTATTATGCCACAACCCCAGTAAACCAAAAGCAAAGCACATTTCTTTGACAGCTCCTGTACAAAGGGGCGTTCGGAGAGAACTGGACGCTATTTCCGTCTGTTGGTTTCGGGTGCCTTTCCAATTTATCGCTTTGGCCTGAGCTAAAAAATGGGGCGACAGGCGAAAGGGAGAGGGCTTCGCCGTAACCCATCGGAGGGCTCCCGTGCCCATCGTGCCGACATGCTGCGTCACATCACAGCTCGACTGCTTGGCTTTTGCGCAGTGTCCGAGGCCTTCGGAGCATGCGGGAGTTTGAATCGCGCCCATCGACGTAGGTTGAGTCACGGGATGCGGAAGTGGCCGCATGAAATGAAACTCGGGGCCAGTGAAAGCGCTCTGTGTCCCTTTGATGGGCTCCCGACCCACAGGCCGCGGACCAGTCAATGCTGGTTCATGCAAGACGAGAGAATGCTGGAAGGGATTCATGGGAGAAGGCGAGCTCCGAAGAGGAGATGGGTGGATTGGGGGAGGAAAAATCTCTTTGTCTCGGGTGAACTTGGTGGACAATCCAAGTTTCCGATCAGCTGTGGAGTAGGGGAAATTGGCTGCCCTGGGAAGGAGAGGGCCACTCTCACAGCTAATGGGAAGTGCCCCTGTCACTCGACTCGGGTCCCATCGAGAAAGGAGGAAATGTGTCTCTTTGCACGCGCAGGCGTGCGTGCTCACGAACGGGGAGGGAGCAGCCTGACGGCCTCGGCGACAAGATGATCCCGCCTGTAATCCCGCTCCCCGCCTCCAGGAATGCGCGCCCGAAGGCTCGGCTCACTCCTCGGCTCGCAAGTGCCACCTCCATCTCGGCGCCGCTTCCTCGCGTCTGTCAGTCCGGCTCCCGGCAGCTGCAACCGGGGCCACAGACGCTCTCATTGTCCTCCGTCCTCCCCGCGACCCCCCCGTTCGCCGCCACGTGTCCGCACGCGGGCGGAACACACCTGCCACCTGCACCCGAGGGGCGGGGCTTTTCATTCGTCATCCATTGCTAAACGCTCATCCCGGCGCCCTGTCACCGAGGAATGGCGGCTCACAGAGGCGCCTCGTTTTAAGGCGGACTCGACGGCGATGGCTTTTGGGTTCACGTTCACATTTCCTCGTTCAATCCCTCGATGCGGGGGCGAGAGGGATTGAACGAGAGCATGTCATTGCGAGCGTGCATGCACATAATAAGGCGGTGACAGTGAGGGGTGCCGGCTCTGTCTCGGTGATTTATGAGAGTGCGCTGGCGAGGGTCTTCCGAGCAGGATATTGTTCCCCGACCGGTGACTTCTGCCGCTCGCTTTCTTTCTGCATCTCGCGGCGTACGTGGGCATTTTCTCCGAGCGAGAAAGATTAAGCTGCAGGTGAGGAACCCGTGTCATCAATCACCACCACGTCACCGTGGCAGGAACCTTTTTAGAAAAGCTGCAACCTAGTTGGACTCCATACTTTTGCACATATTCATTATTTCTGGCAGATAAAGAAAGAGCAAGCACACTCTGCATCCTGACTCCTCTTCAGGAAAGGGAGATCATAATCAGCTTGTCGCGTGTGGGTACCTTACAGCTCAACCGCATGGGCCAAGTGGTCCCACACCTTGCGCTCGGCGCCTCGTCCACCACATCAGGATACAGTGCTGCACACCAATTCCGGTTGAAACAGTATTTTGCACCACTGACGCCAACTGATCAACCGCACTTCTTCTGTGACCGGTACTCACATCCTGGACCGGAGGACATGGCTGGAAGTGAAGAAGAAGAACAACAACAACAACAAAAAAGGACTTAAAGGCCTCGAAATATCGAG